GCCCCGCCGCGGCGCCCCCCGCCCCGGCTGACGGCCCCCGGTCTCTCCCGCAGGCTCCCCGCCGGCCCGGCGTGCTGCCCCGGCTGGAAGCAGGAAGGGCGGGAGTGCACGGCGGGTGAGTGATGAATGGTGACGAAGCCCCGAGCTCGGTCCCCGCGCTTGGCCGGGCGGCTCCTCCAAGGCGCTGGGGGAAGCCCTACAGCTCTCCCTGAGCAGCAGCGGTGGGGTCCTGCACCGTGGGGACCCCCGAATGCCCACCGAGCAACCTGCTAATGGTGCCGCGGCTCGGCTGGAGGGATGGAGTGGGAAGCGGGATGGCGGTTTCCCAGGGAAGGCCACCTCAGCAGGAGGTGGCCAGGTGGCAAGTGGTCCGGCAGAGGGGTGTGAGCCCGGGGGGGCTGCCACGCGCTGACGTGCCTGCCCTGCCGCCAACAGCGCTGTGTGAGGGGGAGGACGCCTGCGGGGCGGACGAGGTGTGCGTGAGACCTGGGGTTTGCCTCTGCAAACCCGGCTTCTTCGGAGCAGACTGCAGTTCCCGTGAGTGTTTCCCCAGGGCTCAGCCCTCGCCATCCCCTTTGCCGGTCTGGATGCTCGGGGGGTGCCGGGCTTCCCCGTCACCCCCCATCCTCGCCATCTCCCTCCCTTCGCAGGCTGCCCCGAGCAGTACTGGGGCCCCGACTGCAAGCGGAGCTGCCCGTGCCACCCCAACGGGCGCTGCGACCCGGCGAGCGGGCGCTGCACCTGCGACCCCAACCACTGGGGAGGGCTCTGCCAGTTCCCTTGCCAGTGTGGCCCCCACGGCCACTGCGACCCCCTCACCGGCCCCTGCCGTTGCGAGCCGGGCTGGTGGGCGCCCACCTGCAAGAAGCAATGCCAGTGCAACCCCGCCAGTTCCCACTGCGACCCGCTCACTGGCCACTGCCGCTGCCTGCCGGGCTGGTGGGGCAGGAGGTGCAGCTTCAAATGCTCCTGCAACCTCTCGCCCTGTGCCCAGGAGACGGGCAAGTGCGAATGCAAGGCTGGGTTTTGGGGGCCGGCATGCCAGCGGCGCTGCGACTGCCTGCACGGCTCCTGCAGCCCCCTCAGCGGGCACTGCAGCTGCAGCCCCGGCTACCAGGGCAGGAG